ATATGCAATGCTGAAAGGTATCCTTTAACAAGAGGTAGAAGAAGAAAAAGGTAAAGATACAAATTATGAACAACAAATACACATCTATCAACAAGTGAATCTGAAAATCAAGTGAATAATCTGATGAACAGAATGAACTGGTGATTATAATAGAATCAAGGGCATAGAAAGGGAATGGACTGACTATTCTTGGGGGGGGAAAGGGGGTGAGGGATGCGGGAAGAAACTGGACAAAAATCTTGCACCTATGGATGAGGACAGTGTGTGGGGAGTGAGGGTGAAGGGTGGGGCGGGAACTGGGAGGAGGGGAGTTATCGGGGGAAAAAAGAGGAACAAAGGTAATAATCTGAACAATAAAGATTTAATTTAAAAAATAAAAAAAAGGAAAATAAAAACAAAAACAAACAAAAAACAAACAAACCATTGAGCAGTGCAGGCATACTATAGCAAAAGCAACTATCAATAGAAGGGCTCCCCCACGCCCCCCACCCCCCCAAAAGAAGGGCTCAGCCCAAAGAAACCGTAGAAGAAAGATCCAACCAATGATGTTAAAACCCCCAACACAGAAACTAGGGAGGGTTGCTTAATTAAATATAATGTGTCTACTACTACTCAGCTCATCTGAGTGGAGAGCTAGCAAAGGAAAAATGTTGAAAAGGCCTCCTAGCTCAGTAATAACCCAGCCTGAAGCTGAAGGACAGAATGAAAAACCAGTTGGGTCATTTTGGACTACCCTGGCAGAAGAAGAAGAACAAAGATTATTTACTGAAAAAGTAAACAAGACATTTCTGAATGCCTAAACCTGATTAATGAGGGATGCCCCAAAGAAGAAGTATTAAACACACTGAATGACCTGATTAAAAATATTCCAGATGCCAAAAAACTTGTTAAGTATTGGATATGCCTTGCATGTGTTGAACCACTCACAAGTTCTATTAAAAATATTATAGAAGGCCTTTGAGAAGGCCATTCTGGCAGGAGCTCACCCTATTGAAGAAATGCCACATGCAATTGCAGATATTCTAACAATGAAGAGTCAAGAAAAAGTTAAATTTGGAGAAAATCTTGAGGAGGCTTAT